TATATATATATATATTATGTATATATATATATAGTAGTTCTCTTTCTCCGGTCTAAAGTCTACCATAAGTCGCATCTTCCTTACTTTCCTTTGGTCTTCCCGGGCCTACTTTCTCATAGCTTTAAGACAAGGCTGCTAGTGTATAAAAAAAAAAAAACAAAAAACAAAACGAAACAAATAAAGTTATACTTGCTAGTTTTTGTTCCTCACACCGTGTTTTTTTCTGTCCTACTATAAACGTTTGTAAAAAAAACAAAGAGGAATTATAGCTGAGCGATAACATTTCGAGAATAAAATCTATTTACAAGCGCGTAAGATGTGCCATGCGAGGGAGGATTTATTTATTGCTTTGATTTGCCATACACATGATCGATTGTTGTGTGTTCGATTGTTAACAGGAAATCGTCGTATTTTTAGCAGCAAAGTCGAAAAACAAACGTTGCAGTCGTCGATGAGGTATCGCGCGCTCGTTGCGCACTGTGTTCCCGGTTTTGTTTTTATTTTAAACAGAATTTACAATCACTATTGAATAAAATGTTTATACTACCACTGCGAGGTGTAAGATCGGTATGTCACGGAAGATATGAGCATCTTTACGGCTGTCATGGAGTGTCGTATATTTTAGGACGTCGGCGCGCTCGTAACTTCGGTCGTTGTGCTCTGCGTATCCGCAGGCGGTTTCTCTTGCAATTCCAACCACGGTAGCCGTTTTTGCAATTCTAACCTGCAACGCAGAATTTTATTATTTGATAAGAACATATAAGAGGAGCAAAACAATATTAAAAGCTTTTCTCTGTGATTTTTCTACAAACTCTAAAACACAACTCCACAAGTACTCTATCCGCCAAGTGTTGGGACACTCTTGCGCGTCGAAAAACACGAAAAAAAAATATTTATCGTGGAAAAAGAACGTTAAGTCGTTTTTTTGCCTGTTCACTCACCTGTATCTCGGATGACTTATGGCGTATACGTATGGATCTAAACACGCCACGAATTTACACGTGCACGCCGGTATCATCGTGACGCCGGGCGTTAACAGCGCTTTGTTTCCAAAAGCGCCGATCAACGCGAGAACAGCGTACGGGGTCCATGACAGAACGAAGAGGAAGCAGATCGTAATCGCGGCCTGCGGGAAAACAAATGTCATGATATGTTACTTCGTTCGTTCGCTAAATTCGGTAGAGAAAAAGATACCAATATGCACGGATTTTGATACCTTAGCTATGCGTATCTCCGCGGTTTGAGCGTTCGCGTTCGCGTTGCTTCTCAGACTTTCGACGTTCATTTTCTTGGCCTGTTCGCGAAGAGCCTTCTCGTGCTCGACGACGTGACTGACGATCTGGCTGTAATAGTATATAATTAGACTCATCGGTATGCAATAGGAGAAGGTGAATATCGTGGCCACGAAGTATCGCGTTTCCGGTGCGTCTGTCAAGTAATCGAAGGTGCAACTCGTCAGAAAGCCTTCCGGCACAAATCGACCCCAGACGTGCATCAGGGGCATCAGGGACCAGGGAATCGTGTACGTCCAAATGAGCGCGATGAAGAGCATCACCTGACCGCGCGACAGCTTTCCATCCAGCGGTCGGGCTATGGTGCTACAGTTTCATCAAAACCGGAATTAAAATACATGTGATATAATTTGTCAAGTACAATTTGTTCATAATTTATATGTAACACGAGAGATTAATGTATTCATGAAACGACCTTGAGATACCTGTATCTGTCGTACGCAATGGCGGCGTTTGTCATGCTAGCTCCAATTCCACTCAACGATCCCATAACACCGAAGATCTGACATCCCAGGTTGCCCAAAGCAAATCCGGTATTGAAGGAATTGTATATAAACACTGGCGCTTTGAGCATCATGACGAAGTCACAGAATGCCAGGTTTACGACGAACATGTTCGAAGGGGTTCTCAGAGATTTCGCTCTACACGTGTGAAAAAAAAATATATATATACATACAGGGTGTCCGACAATTACTTTAACATCTCTCGTAGGCAGGTAGAAGAAGTAAAACTAAGTCGAAAAATCCTGAACCATTTTTTTCTATTACATATAATAAAGGATTTATTATTGAATAAATCCAATAAAGCCAATCAGCGCCGACCTTTAGCCGGGCTCACGTCAGTGAGCCGCGCGGAGCGCTCACGCACACCAGAAGTGTGATTCACTGACGTGCGTTCGGCTAAAGATCGGTGCTGATTAGCTTGATTTATTCAATAATTACTCCTTTATTATACGTAATAGAAAAAAATGGTTCATGACTTTTCGACTCAGTTTTACTTCTTCTATCCGATTACGAGAGATGTTAAAATAATTGTCGGACACCCTGTATATATATATATTACACAGAAATGTGTGTCGATGTATCACTCGAAAAACACTTGAAATACATTGATAAACAACGTGTGTGCGCGAACATTCGTATGAAAGTCCCTCTCTTTTGTTAAAATATTTAAAAAATATTCGAAACTTACGAGCAGAATATCCATAAGACCAATCCGTTTCCAAGTAGCGCCACAAAGGTGAAGAGTGTGTAAAGAATAGCCAGTAGATAATGAAGGGAGGGGTTGGGTTCGGGATATACCAGCCAATGTTCCGGTATGTGGATCAATTCCTCGGCAGGGACGTTCCATCCCAGCAATCGTGGTGGCCCTGCTGGCAGAACCCTCGCCTCCCAATGAACGCTTCCGTTGGACATGTTGGACATCCGCCAGCCCCCTCGCCTTAATTCACTTTCCGTCTTGATCGACATTTATACGCTCTTACGTACCAACTCGAATTCTGTGAAACCTCAATCCATCCGGATTAAATGGCTTCGGGCGAGGATCAACCGAGACGATCCCCAGATTATCCTCGACTTGCTGACGATCACAGCAGATATACGCATTTATATGTTACTCGTTCAAGTTCATCATCTGAGCTGTTTCTGATAGTTCTGAAGTTTTTCGGTTTTGAGTTTTAAAACGATTGATATTTTAATATCGTTTTCTTTCTCTTGAACCACGAAGAAACACAGTTACCGGCATCTTGATAGAAAGCAATTTATTTTCTCAAAATTTTCGAGTACATCGCAATTATTAGATACTTATAGTATCCAATAAAGTATATCCTATCATTTATATGTACATAAATATGTTTATTGTTAAATTTAAACATATAAATAATTTTTACGTATAATTTGATTTTTTTTTACGGATCTTGACAGAATAGATCGATTTTTTTAACACATTTTTCTTACATCTGATATAAATGAAAAAATATCTAAAGTGATATCAAAGAGTAAGACAATTAATACTATTGGTAATCAATATCACTTAATCAATACTAAGATGTATTGAGACAACGCAATAATACTAGCTAGCTCCCCTTCAGTTTGCCAAAAATCTCCTAAAATTTCATATACAGAAATTTATTTACATTTGTATAAATTTTCTAAAATTTTAGATTTATTATACTTTATTTTTATCATACTCTGCCCTCCCTCTCGGTGGATTTATCGGTCAAAGTGTACGCTGGCAGATAAGACGACGGGTTGGCGGGATCCTTCAACAACGGATTTCGCGTTGTGGTGCTTTTACTGCCGATACTCGTGTATCCTTGATCGTATAGGGAGCAGTAAGGAATATTGTGTTTCAATAAAAACGACCACACCTGACTGTACGTCCAATCTAGAATAGGACTGACGCGCATCAACGGCGGCCAGTCTGGATCGGTCGGAGCAAACGGTTGCAAGTCCTTCGAACCAGGATCACCTTTTCTCATACCTATAAGACCCGCTTTCAAACCGGGCCTCTCTTCCAGTAACGCGGCTAGAGCGGACCGCATCGGAAATTCCTTTCGTATCATCTCCAAATTGTAATACCGAGAAGCTGATTCCACGAACGTTTCCACCTGCATACGTGTAGCGTATAAAGTAACGTTTTATTATTTAAGTGTTTAATAAATTAAATGCGCGTATTCACAAACTAACTGTCAAGTCTTCTTACCTCCGGAAATGAGTCGGCAGTTATATACAGGCATAATAAAGACGAGATATTACGCAATTTAGCAACGACAGCAGTCAGATGCAAGACCACCGTGCAGTCTTTGCCGCCATTAAAATTAATAAAAATTTCGTCTGACTTGTATCTATTAAATATTTTAAAAAGTTATATTTATTTTTATGTTTCAACTTCAAATCGAAGTAACGTTCAAAGAGTATAAATATGACTTTTAACTATTTATTTAAACGCGCGTCGTTACCTGTCGTAACACTCGTTCAATATGTCTAACGCAGATTTAACATGCGCCTCGCTTTTGCCAGTTTCCAGAACGGCGTTCACTTGAAAACAACCGAGTCCGTGATTCGGATTCATAATTTTTCGCGCCGGTAAATAATACAGCAGTTCCTCCTTCGCCTCTTGAACCGTTTCCTCGGATCCTTCCAAAACGATCCTCGTGAAAGCTCGCGGCTTCGATTGCGGATAACTGCCAATTTTCACTTTGCCTATNCAGCGTTTCGCTTGTTCATCCAAAATATTTACTATTGATAATTCGTTCGAGTCGATATCTATGTGTTCAAAGTGCAATACCTTGCGTCCTCTAAGTCGCGGAATTATCGCGTCCGCCGCGGGTTCGAAATATTTCGGAGAACCAGGCAGTATGTAAACATTTTTCACGCTTATTATCGCAAAAGTCTCTGNAAATGACATTACGCGCGACATTTTGATCATAAAACATCTCGAAATATAGATTGTATAGATTTTTACATACACGTGTAAAAAACATCATAAGAGCGCAACTTTTGACGTACCTGGAGAATCGATTTTGATAATTTCGCAAGAACTCGGAACGATACAAAATCGTTCGATTTCACGCTGATCGGGACTCTCTTGGATATAAATGTCGAACAATTTTTGATTTAATTCAAGTTCTAGGTTAACCGCTTTTGCCACAGCTTCGTAAGTTACATCATCGTGCGTAGGCCCGACACCCCCAGATGTGAACACAACGGAGTACTCGTTTGAGGCATTGCTCACTTCTTTAGCAATGTCATCCACCTGACACAGGCGAACAGAGTGGTAAAGTGTGTATTACACGTAATTATTTGTTCACGTTTGTGTTTTCATATTATACGAGACAAATTTTTACAATTAAAAGCAATACGTACAACATCGGGAACTACCACGACTCTTTGCAAGCTCACTCCAGCAGCTGTCAAACTTCTCGCCAGATACGATGTGTTGGTGTCAATTATCTGGCCACGTAAAATCTCATCCCCCACGACTATTAAGCTTGCCGTGCACAAATTACACATCTCGTGTGACATGTTGTCTCGTGCTTTTGTCTTTTACTGAGATAAAAAAAGAAATACGAAACTAGTAATTTTCTGCAATAATATACATACGAAGAGTAACGTGAAATTTAATATACTAGCACAACACAAGCGCGCGCTACGCGCATGCTATTATTATTTTTATTTAACGTGTTGTCAGTGAGCACAACCTCTCACCGCGATGACAGATAGTAAGACCGGCCCAGTAGTCCTGCGGCCTGAGTGCAGGGGCTGCGGACTCGGAGTTCTCGAGTTTCGAATCCAACCCACTACCTAAAGGATTTTTTCCGGGCCGGTTCCTTTCAATCGAGTATATCGATTGATTGGCGAACAGAATCGAGACTCCAAAAATTTAATTCGAGTGTAATCTCGAATTAATCATCCTCCCACAAGGCGATCAAAGTCAAAACATCTCGAACACGAGCCCGACACAAGCGGGCGGGCGTCGCCCACTGTGAAAGAAGGCCGTGTATCGCGTGGTAGTAGGAACAAGGAACTGCACAGAAAAAGCTAGAGGAAAAATAGAAGAGACCAGAAAAATAAGAGTAAAGGAGAAGAAGTGAATGTGCCCGCAAAAATCGTTTAACGGTTATGGGCACGTTAAAATAATGACATAAAAAAAAAAAAAATGACATATAGTATATACGTCTTATAAACCGTATAATACATACATATGAGAAATGTCAGAACTAACGCATGAAAATCAAACTCAAAAAATACTGAGAAAGAAAAGTGGAAAACAACAAGTGACTAAAATCACGTGACAGAAAAAAGGCTAAAAAAAAGAATATCTTAAATAAAATGATTTTACCTTATACAAGATGTTTTTATCTTAAAAAAGATAATTGTATCTTAAATAAAATGATTTTATCATATAAAAAAAAGATAATTTTATCTCACACACAAAAATAATTTTATCTTTTAAAAGATAATTTTATCTTAAATAAAATGATTTTATCTTATACAAGATGATGATCAACCAACTAATCGGCAACGCGGAAAAGAGACAACAATAGGTGCTATATATTTGACTCCAAACGCTCACTTCTTGGTACACATGCCTTTTTTAATATAAGGAGGATAGAGAGAGAGAAGATAGTGTTTCTTTTTTTTTTTATCTCTTCTCATCACTCATTCATTCACTCTTTCTCTCTTTTTCCAAAGTCCACGTCTCTCATCCAGTATTTCTCACACACTTCAACAACAAAAATACAGAGAATACAGAGCATACAATAAAATAAAATAAAAAAACAAAGAACAATGTGAGTTTTGTAATATTTTTTGCTAATCTAAATTATATCACAAGAAAGATATGTTTAATAAAGAATCATTAGTGCGCAATAGTTTTGTTTACGTTTTATTTTGAAAAAATATCAGTAGAACAACAATTCTTGTACAAAGTAATAAACTTGCTCTGCAACGTGTGATAAATAAAATTAAATTACATTTCAATGAATTAAGTCATGCACAGCGTGTGTTCATTTCTCTTTTTCTCTCTTTCTTGTCTCGTCAAGTTGCATCCGCTCCATCAGTGAGGTCGTCGCTTCCGTTTGTTGCGGCGACACTCTGTTAACCCAAGGCTGCCGGTTTGTCTTGTCTGATTGTTTTTTAGAATTACCACCCGTTTGTTTGACATTAGTCGTTTTCACGTCTCTGCGCAATTCTTCCAATAGCTGATCCATGTTCGCTGTTTTATCTTTGTTCAATATTTTGCTTTTTTTTAAATCAAGCTAAGTGAAAAGCACAAAAATGTTTTTTTTTTTTAAATATGTTTGGATATCTTATCCATTACGTTCACAAACATCGTGCACGCGAGTTTTTCGTAGAATGTAAATAAAAAACTTTTGTAATATATATGTATATATATATATCTCTCTCTCTCTTCTCGCGCTAGTGCAAGTTTAGTTTAAATCAATAAAATCGAGCTTTTACAATTTGTTTTTGTCACATACTGCCACGAACTTAGGTGTAGAATATAACCTCTCGTAAGAATTAATTGAAAATTTTCAGATATTCATCACTTACTTTTTTCAGATTAGTAATCACCTTCTGTGCCTTATTTTTACACTTCATACTGCGTACCTTTGCCACTTTGAAGACATTTTTGTTTTTGTGATTTCCCTTGTTCTTTCCCATTGCTTTTTCTGTAAAATCATTCGTTTATGAGTCATTGTTTACAATTCCAATTAAAATTATTGTTTTACAAAGCTACTACATATCGTTACAATTTATTTTAAGTTTCTTCGTTGCTGGCTCCCCGCCTCTAATCATACTCTGTTTAAGCAAAAATGACACTCGCACCATCTCTTTGTTCGGTGCAACATTTCTAATGTCCTGCACGCTAACAATAGAATCAGCAGACAAAGTGTGATTAAGTTGTTGCTCGACTAGAAACTGTCCGAGTTTGCAGATATCTTCCTCCTTACTCGCTTTCACGAAACAATACACGTGAAACGTAAGTGGCTTAACGCAGACTTTTTTCAGCTCTTCTTCCGTAAACCAATCGGGCAGTATGTCTAGAAATTCAACAGCCGACGCCGGCAAGTTCATGACTACGTGTTCGGTACCAGGTAAATTTTGGTCACGTCGGGACAATACGTCATTTTTCACAACGTTTCTCAAAAACTCTCTACCGTCCATGTTGAAAGCTTGAAACTCGCCCTTCACTTTATTAACAGTGGCATTTTTTCGAAGCCATTTGTAAGATTCGGGATTCAGATCATTGGCTAATACTCGAATTCTTTTGCGCGCAGCGTAAATAGCAAATGGCCCCACTCCCGCGAACACGTCGTACAGAACGTCATTTTGCGCCATTAATTTTACTATTCTTTCGTGTTCGGTGGACAAACGTGGGTTCCAATAAACCTGTGCAAAGTCAAACTCGTACATACATCCGTTTTCCTTTGCGGTTGTTATTGTGTTCTTTTCGCCAGCCAGAATCTCCATATTAAAATATCTAAACGTCGAATCAATTATATTTATTTTATTCACTACCGTCCGTATGGGTGGAATTTTATCGAGAAACACTTGACCGATGAGAGTTTTGTATGGCAAGTGTATATCGCGTAGATTTACTTGTGCAATGTGTCCTACCAGACTGTACGATGTTGGACTTGGAATATCTTCTGGCAGAACTGCTTTCAATATCTCATCGCGGTCCCAATTTTCATATTTGATTGTCAGGTTCATTGTGTCGAAACATTCATATTTGCCTGCTAATAACTTTCTATCGTTCTCAGAAATATCCTCCAATTTTTTAACAATATTTGGATTTAGATAAACAATTACTTCGTTGTTACTCATTGTCTGTACTGATTTGAAGTTATCCATCTTTAAGAAATATTTCTTCAAGACGTAGATATCCTTCAAGAAAGTAATATTGGATAATTTTAATATCGGCACATTCACAACTGTTGTAAATGCATCGCGATCCAAGTGTGTCATTCCGCGAACAGACACTGGAGGAACCAGCAAGGAAGCCATGGTAGTATAAAGGTTGCACTGATTTGTCAAGCAATTAGAGTGCCATATCTTATTGAAGAAGAATCTGCCCACTGCCATATACGGGATCATACACTGCACAACACAACATAAACAGTTGACAATAACAGCTGTTTCCATCAGTTTTACTGTGTGCCACTTGATTATTTTATTATTATCACTTAATTATCATTCAATTACATTAATTAATATGTAGTCAATATAAATGTCTGATCCTGTATATTGACAAAATAAAGAATATTGCAACGCATCAGTGTAGAAATTGAAAAGTTAGGGCAATAAAATGAGACAAGCAATGTCTTATCAGAGAGGTTATGCGACATACGTATTTTTCAGCATTTTAAAACAAAGACAGTAGAAATAAAATAAAATAGATATTAAAGTGGAAATTCTATTTACCTCTTTTCCTATAAAATAATTCGACGTGCGTATATATGACACGAGACTTTCTTATTTAACAACCCAACTGGATAAAAAAACGTGTTTCTGGAGTTGTCTTGTGTATCTGGCACGTGTTTAAGCTTGCGTTCACGATGTCAAAAAATTCAGAGAAAAAGTTACTAGACTTAGACCAATCGCACTGACCGAACGGATCAATTCTGATTGGTCAATTTATCTCGATCAATGGGGACAATCAGAGTTGGCCAAACTGGTCTGATATGTTTTGATTCTCACGTAAACAAACATGGCGACAATGTTAAGAAACTGTGTTTTGACTGTTTGCAATTTGCCGAATAATATAAATATATTGGGATGTGGCGTAAGTGCTAATTTCTGTCTCGTCAATATTGCAGATCAGCGTACAATCGTATCGATACGCAATTTCTGTCAATCATTTTATATTTTTTTGTTTCGTAGCTTCAACAGGTACGAAACTTCGTCGGCTGCAGAACGATACGTGATATCAAGCGTAGAAAATTGGCGGAGAAACACGCCGAAGAACGATTACGTCTCGTTGCTCTGAAACGAAACAATATCTTGCCGATTGAAATAAGAGTAAATAAAAGTGTTTACGTTGTTTAGAGAGAAGGATCACATATGTATTTATATTTTGTATAAATTTATATGCACACTGATCTAACGCACAAATGATTCTTCTAGGACCTTGCTCAGCAGCAAATAGATGAAACAATTCCCAGACAAACCGCTCTGAGACAATTGACGCCGAGGTGTGTGGTGACTTCTCGAGGTCGTGGTAATTTGGTACGATGGAGAATATCTCGATTTATTTTCCGTCATTTAATTGATTACAATAAAATGGCTGGGATGCAACGTGCCATGTGGTAAGATGCAGATCGCAAGGAAGAACAATGCACTAGTTGTACACAAGTATCAACAGAGTATAAATAAATTGCAAAAGCACACGTGTAAATAAAATTATAGAAAATAAAAAAGCTTTCTGTGTCACAGATCGCAACATATATGTGTGTGTTTTTATTGTACGATTGGAAAATCTAAATATCAGCGATATAAATTTGTGCGAACTACTGAAAACTTGTCGTGTGTTTTTTGCATTGATAAATGCGTACGTGATTTAATTTACGCATCGTGTATTTTCAGCGAAAATAGGCCTGATAATTGATCAAGATTTATAAATATTTATTTTAAAACAAAATTTGTGTAAACAAAGAGAACATTTCCGACGTAACAATTTACGTTTTCGAGATTACCTGTAATATATTAAACAAAAAGGATGTAAGTTCGACGAAAATCCTGCTTCTCGCTTCTGACGTCACACTTAAAATTTGATGTGACCGGAACGAGTATCCTTAAGAAACTTTAGACGCGATAGACCCCTCCCCCAAAAACGCATTATCTGTGCAAAAATTTATTCTAAATTTATTGCATTCTAAATACTCTGCAAACTTTGCAGCCAGGCTCGCAAGTTTTTCGTCCGGAAAACTCGCGTGAGCGGAACACGAAAGTTGATTACTAATAGAATTATACGTGTTCGGTTTTGGTAATGAGAAGAAAATCGATTCGCGGACACGCATCAAGTGTAAACAGATATCGTTGTTTTTCTTCATTACTCATATCTCATTTATTAACACGCGTATTCTTTCCCGTAACTGCGGACAATTCGCATGCTTGAATATTTCATGTAACTCACTCCCGTACATACACAACCGCTTATCTTCCTACATCGCGAAAGCGCGAATACATGTTTATACCGATCGACAGATTATGAAGTGTTTTGTTAGCACACAAATCTCGAATATCAATATCGTAGACGCACCCGTACAATGACACGAAAACACGGACCTTTTACTAAATTGAACACACTCGCAAGAGTGTCGCAAAAATAATACTGCGTTTTGTACCGCGGAAACAGTTCGATTCGCTACTATAAATTTACACTTCTGTATTATATGATCGATTTACGCTTAAAAAAACGTAACGAAAACCTTTTCTAAGATAGAAAGCAGTTTTGAAGAAGTCTCTTTTCTTTCAGAAGATACACACGTAAAAATATTATATTCAGAAAAACGAGACATTTCGTACCGTCGTGTAAACTTTTTATTAATGTTCGTCATATATTCAATTCCGAAGTTCGAATTAAACTACGACCGTGATCCCGCAGAGAGACGCGCGGCGAGCATTCAAAAAAGTCACCAAAGACAGATGGTCGCTCATAATTTACGGAAAAAAGAAAAAAAATAACACAATCAATACGACTGTGTGTGTCATATATATGTACGCATTTTTTATTCTCAGCAGAGAAAACTTACTCGCGCTCGCGCGAGTTTCCAAGTGGTGTAGTCGGCTATCTGATCGGACATGCGTCGCGGAATCCTTCGCGTGAACGGAGGTTCTTTTCATTCAAGTCGGTCTTCGCCTCTCTAGTGTGCTCCGATACACCTGTGTGGTGTGGTGAGTTTACGTATCGCCCTGTGTGCCATCACATCGCCAAATTTTATTTACTTTGCACACACACACACACACACACACGCGCGCGCAAACACATTGTCTACGTTCGGTAGATGGAACTGCGACAACGTGAATCACGAAGGCCGGGATCTCATGTGGGTGCGCTTGTACAGATGTTAAGAAATTTAAAAAAATATATCGCGGAAATATCGGAGAACTTTGGATTTATTTTTTTCATAGAATAACAATTTGCTATAATAATTTACTTAATTATAATTTTTTAAACGCCACGAACTTTGTTTTAATTTACGAACGTGGTGGTCGCAATTTGCGTTTTCAAGAGTGTCACAAGGGGTTGAGCGTTAATAAACGTTGACAATAAAATGTTTATAGATTTAATGGAAATATCAACACAAAACGTGATAAACGGACAACAGTTCGTTAAATTTTTGATTGAACAATTTTAAAATTAAATTGAAACGTTTTAGCATCGTTTACTTGTTAATGAGTTTATAAACGTTACAACGTAATAATTTCATTGAAGAGAGAAATGTGTTGCAAAATCGATCAGTATTTGCGATGTTAGAGCAAGCATTAACAACAAAAGGTCGATAAGAATCAATCGTTGAGATTCTTGTATTATTTTTTCAGTGAAAAACACACTAGTTACGTAAACTCCGAGTGTCGAACAACATCGCGTTTATTTTACAGCACGCGTATGTGTAAAACAGAAAAAAAGCGCATACAAGTTTATATATTAGATTTTTTATACTTTTTAATATTTCTTTTTTCTCTCCCCGGACGTTTAATCTAATAGTGAATATTTATATACGAAAAAAAAAACACGTCCGTACTTTTTTCAATCTGTGTTTAATTTACAAAATGGCGAGAAATTCGTTCGGTAAAATTATCGTTTTTATTTCGCAAATAAATAATGTACTTTCGAGAGCTGTAACCGCATATCGACACTCGTTATAGGATTTCTATTTTATTTTATTTTTTTTTTTCCCCCATTATTTTTCAGCTCATAAAAATATAAAATTACACGAAACACGCGCGGCCACTTCATTACTTCGCAACGCGAATTTTTATGGCTATCGTGTTAATGGACGACGTCGTGAGACCGTATCTAAGAAATTGCAACCGACACCCACTTAATAACATTCGATCAGGATCATCCGAGAAGGTGACGTTATATTTGACGAGCAAACCGATTGCCCGCGTCATCGTAATGGCTTTTTATACACGTATATACACCGAGAAAACGACCGATCCTTTTTTTTTTTTTTTTTACGTGAGGGCTGCGGGGTAATATTACAGTTCACACTCGCATCCGCATGATGAAACATCGCTATAATTAATTCAGCGAATTACGCGCATCATGTTTGCCGCGAGCGAATGCACGTCGCCGCGGCCCACGTGTACAATACGTCGGCATCGGGGTAACACTTCGTGTTTAAAAAAACGTCGACATTACTCATTACGATTAATTATATCATTTTTTGAGACGCGCTACAGATTATCAACTAAATCACGCACATTTAATTACGCGCACTATCATGCGGTACTTTTTTTTTATTCCGTGACGTTTTAAAAAAAAACGAGATTGAATAATTACTTAAACTAACGCGCGTTGTCTCACGCGCGCATATGGAAATTAGAGTCGATCTTTTTTTGATTCTGCAGCAAAAACACAAATGCAAATTACCACGTGGGTGTATGACGGCGACTTAATTTAATTAATTTTGAAAATTGCAATTTTTAACTCGACAGAGAAGTTCTATTTCTCTCTTATGGTGCAAATGTGACACTTCGCGTCTGAAAAATTCGTCTTTTTTCATAGTACTTTTTATCTTATCGATATTTCAAATTTTCTGAAAAACGTATATTTGATAACGCAATTGATTCAATGTAGCGGCATCGCGATGAAATGGTGGTTTCGTTGAACATCAATGAAGACCCCTACAACGTGATGCTGAAAACAAAGCGAATGCTGAACGTGAATTCGAAGAGAGGCAGCGCGACTTGTCAGAAAATTTTGCCGTTTCTGAAGAAGAAAACCGAGGCGAAGGAGAATAATGCGGAAACCCAATTTTCGACCGCGCATCCGCCGGGTCCGCCTAGGACACGACCGTTACTGCGCAGCGGTTTTCTCAACGAGCAACCTCTGTCCTCGAGCAACAATGTAAGTTTTACACATTCTCAGTGTCGCGAGAACATCGGAAGTGTCGCGCGTCAAGTTGAAACAAAAAAAAAAAAAAAAACGATGATAAAGCAACGCGGAGAGGGGGATGGGGGGGAAATCTGTTTTCGCAGGATTTAGAGAGCTTCCACTGTGCGATAGGACCCGTTCTGGCGATGGCTCAATTTTTCGGAGCTCTGCCGGTCGCCGGAGTGCGCAGCCCGACCCCGTTGAAGCTGAGGTTCGCCAAGTTTTCACTTCACACTGCCTACGCCGCCCTCATCACCACGGCGGTGTTCATTATGGCAATATTGTCGGTTATTCACATGATAAGAACGTTAAACTCCTCGACTTTTGAAGTGAGAGGTAAACAGATAAAGTGTATTTTATACGCTTCGCAGAAACGCACCACGTGTGCCGCGTTCATTCTATATGAGAGGGTGACACATCGTTTTATTGCGCGGCGATAGCGACGAAGAATTAACACGTGAAGCCTTCGTCCTTTTCGCTGCAATTTTTTTTCTATATTCGATAAATATTAACAAAAATTAAATTCGGGAGATCTTTAACAGATCGAACCGTATTCTTTCTCGAAAGAATCTCTCTGTTACCTCTCTGATCCGTATTGCACCGAATAATCAAAAAGTTGCTTTGCGTGTACAAATATAGCGTAAACAAAAAAAAAAAAAGCTAAAACACTAAAAACTGAAAAACTATTAGATAAACTATTTTTCTACATTTTAAAGATTTTTTAATATATTTCTTTATATTATTTGTTATGTATATTATTTAATACATTTAGTTACAACAAAAATATCCATCGGATAACTCAGCAGACAAAAGGTTGGTAAAACGCAGCGTTCGTTTTGTTTCGCAGGAGGAATAGCGAACGCAACGGCGGGCGCGATATTCTACGGAAACAGCGTGTTGGGTTTGCTCATATTTTTCTGGCTGTCGCCGCGTTGGGTGATTCTTCAACGCGAATGGAGAACCATGGAACAGTTCATAGATAGGTAGACACCATACGTGTCTTTTATAAAAAAAAAAAAAAAAAAAACAACAGAAATAATCGTCGCACAGTTAGCTTATCGAATGATCGCGCTTGCATCACGCTTTTCACACCTGCAACATGTAAAGAGAGTCGCGCGCGTAGGATGTTTCTCGCGCAATACCTACTCGAAGGATATCGGAGATCGCGATCAAGCGCGTTCACGCGATGACAGCTACGAGAGAGCAATTGCAATAAAAAATATCACGTTTCAAGTTTCCCTTGACGCTATCGCGATATGGCAATCGCTTCGGATAGTCGATATATTTCTTCCCAAAGTTTGATTAACTCTTCTTCTCTCTCTCTCTCTCTCTTTGTATCGCTTGTGTATTCGCTTCATGTATTTATTAAGTTTTTTATTTTTGTATTTAGTAAATTTTTTCGTCATCTTTTCGCAGTAACAAAACGGAACGACCGAAACTTCGATGGAAGATCAACTTGATAGCCATCTTCATTCTGCTCCTCGCTCTTGTCGAACACATCTTGAGCATAGCGGTGAACACCGTGGATTACGATTGGAGCGGCAAGTCGGAGAATTCGACGTTTCAAAATTTCCTGTACATATACTGCAAGCACTCTCACTCGTTCATCTTGGAATCGCGTGAGTGGGTCGCACGAGGAAAAGTTTTTTTTTTTTTTTTTTTTTTTTAATTTAGATATCAAACAAACAAAGTACTTAGATGTGTTAACTGTGCGCGGCGCGGACACGCGCGTTTCTTGTAGAATTTGTTTGAGATATTACGTCTCTTTTCTTTCGCGGACGTACGTAAGAAGTCGTAGGATTAAATCCAACAACTTCCGGTTGTGTTTCCGCGAAGCGGAAACTTTTCTTACAAAGTTCTTTTTTATTTCCAGTGACTTACAACTTTACTCTCGGTATCTTCATTTTCATCGTCAGCAAACTGGCGACTTTCACCTGGAACTTCACCGACGTTTTCATCATGATGGTGAGTAAAAACTTATTCGCGAACTAATAATAACTTCTCCCACGTCACAATCACGGGAGATATAAATAAATAAAAACAAACAAAAATTATAATATGTAAACAAGAATAATTTTCAATTTTTAATTGTTTCTTTAAATATTTCTTTCGAGGTCGCTACCGGCCTGGCCGAGAGGTATAAACTTTTGAACAAACAAGTAGTGAGGTCGACGTCGAGGCGTCGGACAACGATAGACTGGAGCGGATTTCGCGAGGATTACGCTGTTCTAAGTTGCATGGTGAAGGAAGTAGACAATAATATCTCGCCCATAATTCTGCTCTCGTTTGCGAACAATCTTTACTTCATCTGTCTGCAATTACTGAACGGATTGTCGTAAGTGTTGACACTCACGCGATACATACAATCGAAACAGTGAAAGCAATTAAGTAACAACAACAAGAAAAACCATCACGAAGCATAACCGCTAATTGCCTATGTAGTATATATATATATATATATGTGTGTGTGTGTATACACATAAATGTTCTTTTTTCTCGTTAAAACTGTTTACATGTGACGCGTGTGTAACGTAACGTGTGTAATCGATTGTCGCACAGTCAGCCGGAAGGCAGCACCATCATCGTCGATATCTACTTCTTCGGATCCTTCATTTTTCTGATCGGGAGAACGGTAACCGTCACTCTGCTCACCGCTAGGATCAACGATCAGAGCAAAGTGGCATTGCCGGCTTTATACACTTGTTCGGCATCCACCTATAATGTAGAGGTAAATAATTCACGACTTGAACAAGAAAGAGAGACACACATCTGTAAAACTGCAATTGTATTTTTTTTTATTAAAAAGTTTCTGTTCAGTGAGATGTAGTTTTTCTTTTTTCAAATTTTTCTTCTCTGTGTAAATAATATAATTCATAAAAATTATTGTTCTCGCATAGACGGAAAGGCTGATATATCTGCTTACTACAGACGACATCGCGCTCACGGGACTGCGCTTTTTTTCTATTACGCGGAATTTTATGCTAGCGGTAAGAACGAATTAATTAATATTGTTTCGTATATATTTATCACAGAACGTGTTTATTAAAACATATCACGAATATATTTGCAGGTAGCCGGTGCGATCGTAACGTATGAGGTCGTGCTGTTGCAGTTTAACGTTGCGATGAATCATTAAACAAACAAAAATTTGTCAAAACAAAAAAAAAACAAAATGTAAACCCGGAGAGACAAAATAATATTGTATACGTATTAAAAAATCATCACACACACACACACACACACATATGTTATATTTATATATATACATATATATATATATATATATATCATTCTCTTATTGCAATTTAAATAAATTTGTCAAAAATGCAAATTGTCTAAAAACTAGTTTTCAACATAAAAT